TTTTCCTTAACCAAGGTTTTGTCCCACTAGGTTTTCCTGGTAAGGTTTTTAATGAGGCAGCAAGCAATGCATATTATAAATAACTATGTACATCACAATATTTTTTTTGTAAGTTTTTAATGAGGCATATTATCTTACATGGACATCCAAGGGGGAGTGTTATGAATAGTTTGTACATTGGATACTACTTTGGATACTACATTGGATGCTACATTGGATGCCCATTTTGTGAATAACTTAAAGATTAAATTTCCTACTTTATGTCCATCATCTTTACTTTTTATGCCTATAAAGAGTCATGTAATTGCAATGGAAAAATACACCAAAGTGAAAGAAAAAACCACTTCTCTCTTCTTTCTATCTCTTCTTATTTACATTTTACTGCATTACTTTTATTTTATAACACTATGGACATTATTGAAGAGTTATTTTTTCTTCAAAAAGGTTCTATGAAGAAGAAGTGCTTTGAGATTGTTTCTCAAAAATATCTTTTCCCACTCACATAACACTTACAAAAGCTACTCATGTGCAATTCGTTAAGAATGGTCAGTCCTCAAGGTTCCACAACACTTTCAAACACGTGCACTCATAGCTGACAGTTTGAAATTTGCACAAAATAATCGCGTAGAAGATTGAAGAAGAAGAGAAGATGAAGGTATTTTTTTTTTTGAAAACTTCACAAAACAGCTCCTAATATAGATAAGATGCTAGAGCTGTTATAAGAAGGAGAATTAAATTGGATTTACAAAATTCAATTCAAAGAGAATGAATTTTGACATTCTGGTAAGCATGTATTTGAACACCTTTTCTGGTAAGCTCAAAAAATGAGAAATAAATTTTAGCAAAATCAGATTTAGATTAGGCATCACGTATATCTCACGCGTAGGGGGGCAAATCGGTCCGTTTTGCTTTCAAGACCAATTTCTCATGTGCGTGAGACCACTCCCTTTTACTAGCTCTTTACAAGCCCAACAAAGAGCAATTCAATACAAGAAGAAGAAAAGAAGTAATGAAAGACCGTTTGTCTTTCACAAAAGACAAATAAGTGAAGAAAGAAAATGGACCGCAAAGAAATCTTTGACTATAGCTTATCAAGTATAAATAATACCAATAATCTTCTCTTAAGTCTGACAAAATCCCAATAAAGTCTTTCAATTAATCAATTCACCACGACAAACCTCTCTCTTCTTCATCATAAGTCTTGTGTAAAAGATTACATTAATCATCACCTCTCTTTCTTTAACGATTTTGGTGTCTAATCCGTCGATTAATTATCGATTATCTCTTTTGTCCTTCAAATGTGAGACACATGATAAGAGTGAGAAAACCCTCAAATTTAGTTACATTCATTCAAGATTCTTCACTAATAATAGAAAAGTATATATCTATGGGTTGTTATATTGTTTAGACAAACACACATTTTGTATATGGCGATGAAACTTAGCGTTCAAAGAGCATTATTGAGGATAGGCTCAACTTACTTTCAAAAAAATGACCCTAACATATTGTGATTGAGTGGTAAATGTTCTGTATTCGAATGTTTTTGCAGTCAATCAATCATTTTGGGAGGGTCAACTTTTTCAATATTTGCATACCAACCCGTTCATTCCATCCCTTCTATATTAGGTGGCAATTTTATCGTAAGCACATAAATTTTTACTTCTATTTTTTTCAATTTGCTAGACCTGACTTGTGAGATTATACTGAGTTATTGTTGTTATTTTTCCTATTCGTTTAATTTTCCCTGTACTCACATATGTCATTGTCAAGGAGGGGAGCTGAATGCTGATTATTTACTCATATTATGTTAGAGAGCAATTTATGAAAATTACTTGAGTATAGTGATGGCAAAATGGTTAAAAAAATAGTCATTCATCTATATTTATCTGCTAAAAAATAGGTTAGATAATGAACTTTTTAAAAACAGGTCAAATATGGATAAGAAACATATTATCCATTTAGAAAATGTATAACCAATGGATAACTAATAAGTTTAACTTTAAATTTGTAAAACCTCAAATTATGGTTTCTCAAGTTTAGGAGACTAGGAATTCTCCCAAAGTGATCATATTCAAGAAGTCATGGATAATGTGTATATCCATCGATTAACTCATTTTTTATCTATATTAAATATGGATCAGGTATGATAATTTATTCATTTTTGCATTATCCGTTTTCGACCCGAATCATTCTGACTCGGCCCGCCCATTTATCACCCCTAATTGAGCATATCACAAGTTATTCTTTTTAGCAGGACGAAGAGAAAAGAGTGTAAATAAATTATATTGTTGACAGAATGAATTCTGGATCTTTTGTAGGACGATTTTTTCTAGTGTTACTTTTTGACTAAAATGCTGATTATTTTTAACCCTTGAGTGGTCGTTATACTTGGCTGAGTGGCTCATCACATCGTGGTATTCTAGGGTCAGCCTCTCAACTCCTTCGGGTAGGCGTAAGATCTGCGTACACATTACTCTTTCCAGACCCCACTAGTGAGATTTCACTGGATTGTTGTTGTTATTATTGTTGTTGTTGTTGTTGGGTACGTGAAAACTTTATCAATATGAGCTTGCTTACATTGTCGGTCTTATGCCCGTATAAAAGAGAAGGATTGCAATAAATTAAAAGTCAATATAAAACTAATCAATTCATGATGAATCTTTACGGTACAGATATCATCGGGGTGTGCTTAGTTGCCGTAAAAGTATTTTGGTTGTAACAGTTAGCAGGTGTAAAAACTATTATTACTACAGTCAGGGGCGGATCTAGAGTATAATATATGGGTTTCGGAGAACCCAGTAACTTTTGCGTAAACCATATATTTTGTTAAATTTTTTTATTAAATATCTATTTGTGAATCCAATTATTATTGTATATTAATTTGAAATTGCGACACGAACCCATAAACTTAAAAGCTTCGATCCGCCTCTCTACCGTTAGTGTTGTTAATAAGTACTGTTATACCTAAACAAGAATGTTGTTACTTGTTAATACGAATCTAAAGCTTTTCCAATGAGTAAGACAGATTATTTAAGATCGTTGCTTATCCTTGAAATCATTGATGTTTTTGCTAATTAGCTTGCCTAAAGACTATAAGCAGTATGCCTTTCAACAAACCAAAAATATAGAGAATCTTATAAAAGGAAAATTTAAAAAGAAAATGCAAAAATAATTTCGGACAAAGATTACTTTTAGCATGCGTCAGAAACTATTTACATTCGATAGCCATAAAAATATATGAAATTTTGTAAAAATAAATAAATTCATATATAACTTACAATTTTTTTGGGCTATTATTTTAAGAGTGACTATACAATATCGTTTTGAGATATTATCACTTTTAGCCTACACCAGAAACTATTTGCATTAAGTAGCCGAAAAAAGTGTATAAAATTTGTATAATTTTTATATATAACATATATATATATTCGGCTATTATTTTGAGAGCGGCTATATATTGTCATTTTTCCTGTCATTCGTGTTTTTCCATAATAATAATAAGAAATTTTTACCTCCTATAGCAATGGTTGATATCTTATTTATTTTTAATAAATACCCTTCTAAAAAATTATATTCCATAGCTACCTTTTGATTTTTATAGCCAAATATCTATTTATGGTCACCTCCTACTCTTACGCCATAAAATACGCTTTGTATTATTTTTCTCTTTCATTCTTTCAGATTTTTCTCCACCCTCCCTCTCTCTCAACTCCAGTCTTTCTCCATGAATATAACCACAATTCTTCCAAATACAGATCGAAACGGGTAGTTTTGACTCTCAATCTGGAATTTATATTACCAAGTCATCCCTACACAGAATGAAAGAGCCAACACTTCTTTCCCAGGGTTTGTGAAAATTTCTCAATAAATATCCCTACGATCTACCACAGCAGCCCAAATTTCATTGTCCAAAAATTTGGCCCATTGTATCACAAGAAACAAAACTCTATATAAATCTTCATCTTCCTCTTCTCTTCGTCGTTCTAGGGTTCTGCCCAATCTGGGGTTTTCCGTCCCAATCCACAAACGCCATTCAAATTCAATTGTAAAGAATAGGTTTTTTGACGCGCATGTGAGAGTATTATGGTAACAGGAACAATTGCGTTTCGAATCAGAATCCCAGCCCTCTCAACGAGACGATATTAGGGTTGTTTTTGAACAAAGACGACGGAGTTTGGGCTGAGCAATTTGAATTTTTTGTTAATATATTTCAATGTATTTCAATGTATCTTGCTGTATTTTATAGTATTCATTGTCTTTTTTTCATTGTATTTCAATGTATCTCACTGTATTCCATGTATTTCATTGTATTCACTATCTCGTTGTATTTCATGAATGTATTCATATATTTTTTTAATTAATATAATTTATGTATTCAGATGTATATATGTATTCAAATTCTCTATTTTTGTTGTATTTATCAGCTGGGAAAAATATTCAGCATATTTTTCTCTGAATATTGATATATTTTTGGGATATTTTTCGGTTGAGAATCTTTTTTATAACTGGAAATACAAATTTTGTGTGTTATAATTGAGTTTGTTGAGCTATATTAGGAGTCTATTATGTTAATTGATTCACTTCCGTTTAAAACAACTGAATAGACCATGAATTGCGCAATTTATGTTACTGTATTCACAAATACATATCGTGAATAAAGTCGAATACAATAATCTATCTAGTTGTAATCCCCTATTTCACGCCGTGAATACAATCGAATACAAAAATCTGTCTAGCTGTAATCCCCTGTTTCACGCCTAGAAATGCTATTGTATTCATAAATATAGTAGCTTAAATACATCAAATACATTCTAAAAAATCTGAAAACATAAATATAAGAATTAATATAGTAAATGACAGCTACAACTAGCTAATAACCACTGAAACATAGTGGTTTCTGAAAGTTTCTCTAACAATAATTACAGAAGCCCAAAACTCTTCAGCCCAATTTCGAGAAGCCCAATCCAAGAGCTCCAATTCATTCAATAATTCAAAAACACAACTTCAATAAAGGTTAGGGTTTTATGAGCGGCTCTCTCTTCTCTTCTCATCTGCAACCTCTCAAACCCTAGTCTGAAGTTTGAGCTTCTTTTCACTCAGCAAACATGGGGTATGATTTGTTGTTTTTCTCCTTTAATCATTTTCTATGTGTTACAGTCATCTTCAAATTGCATTATTTCCATGTGAAAACTTTATATCTGCATTTCAAGTCTAAGTGTTTTGGTCCTCTTTTAATCGATTCCTAATAGTTCTCTCCCCTTTTGCCTATCCTGGAATCTGGGTTCTATTGTTGTCTGCTTAAAAATGAATGTTTCTAATTATATCGGATATATTATATGAATAAACTATGTAATGCAGATTTTATAGCTTTTCCATGCCCAATATGTAACAATTGTTAATCGAGTTACTGAGCGTGTAAAATTTTTGAAGTGCCTGATTGCTAGAAGGTTGTAATTTGAAAACGGTGGACGTGGAGGTTATAGGAACAGTAGATTTATTGCACGAATTGATGGTGCTTTTAAAAATTAGCAAACTTTTTTTGTGGAGTTACCACCTGTTGCTGTGTGAGGCAGTAGGTATTCCGTGGAATTAGTCGAGGTCCACATAAGCTGGCTCGGACAGTTATCAAAATAAAAATAGCAGATCTTATTTTCTTTGTTACTTAAAGAGCTTTGTAAGGAAATTGCTTGTCGTGTTCAGGAGTTCTGCAAGATTAGGAATAAGAAATTTGATGTGCTTCTTCCTGGATTTTAGAGACAAATTCTAAGATACCAAGGCAATTAGCAATTGGAAGATCATTGTTTCTTATAGTTTGATATGTTGGTTTTGCATTGAAATGTCTGTTCTCTATTACGATATGTCATTCCCCCAACAATGACTAATCGTTGAGGTGTTCTGATGTAATTAAGAATATATTAGTGAAAGTGAGAAAGCATATGCTTCTGTTCATTACGCGAGTTGTCTCTTAATAGGGTAAAATTTTCAGGAAGACACGAGGTATGGGAGCTGGACGCAAGCTGAAGTCCCACCGTAGAAGACAAAGATGGGCTGACAAGTCCTACAAGAAGTCCCATCTTGGTAATGAATGGAAGAAGCCATTTGCTGGCTCATCCCACGCTAAAGGCATTGTGCTTGAGAAGATGTAAGTAGTTCTATTTTACTCGAGTTTGATAACTTATCCATTAGCCATTCTGTTTCAAAAGCCCTTGTATCTAACCAGTTAATTTTGAAATTGTAGAGGTATTGAGGCTAAGCAGCCCAACTCTGCTATTCGTAAATGTGCTAGGGTTCAATTGATCAAAAATGGAAAGAAGATTGCTGCATTTGTTCCTAATGATGGTTGTTTGAACTACATTGAAGAAAATGTGAGTCCTTTGCTTCCACATATCTCCACGCACAAAATGTTTTTCAGATTTCTTAGTTCCTATCCGTTTATTTTTGGAGTTGCAGGATGAGGTATTGATTGCTGGATTTGGTCGAAAGGGTCATGCCGTGGGAGATATTCCTGGTGTCAGGTTCAAGGTGGTGAAGGTATCTGGTGTTTCTCTCTTGGCTCTCTTCA